TTTAGATCTTGAGGAAATGATTCAAATCTCTTCTATATTCAAAATATTGCCGATCGAAAACAATCAAAAGAAAAAATTGTGTAAATTACATTCAAATACTGATATAAAATTCTATAAAAATAACAAGTGTCAACTGAAAATAAAAAGTCATGTGTGAATGATGAATACAAAAAAGCTTTTATCATTCATCGGAATTGTTTTTCTCAATTACCAAGTCTTATAATACAAACATGCAACAAAACAGTTTTTGTGGGACTTACACATAGCTTTGAAGAGAATAGTGAGTGTAAGTTTAAATCGATGTTTTTGCGGCTTTGCCTATTCAGGTCTTAGCAACGGCAAAAGAAGCGTAAGTAATAGTGGTGTTTAGATCATTCTGGAACCCTGTAGATTATAACTAGTCTAAACAGTAGGACGATGGTATTATTAATCTAGTAGAATCAGAATAGGACGGACATAAAAAAGTATGAAATAATTGAAGTCTAATTGTAGCCAAAACTCAACAGTATGTGTCAAAGCTCGTCCAAAGAAAGGATGATGTGCTTGAAGATGTATCCCTAGTCGAACTTCCTCTTTCATTCTCATGAGGTTCTTGAGTATCGTGACCAAAAAAACTATGTGATATGGACACATCTTGGAACCTTTTTTGCAAGCGCAGGTATTTGAACTTCTTTCTCCACTACTTAATATTCTTATTCATCAGTTTGAGTTTTTGTTCAAGTGAGTGTAAGTATTATCAAAAACGAAATACTTTATGAAAAACATTATAAACTTCACAGATTAACACACAGAAGTCCGCCTTTACGACACGTTAGCAAGTGTAACACTCTATTGGATCCAGCCATCTTTCTCAACTATGAAAACAACATTTTATAATATGTGAAACTAATTTTAATTATACTTTATACATGTTTTTCATTTTTTTCTTCCATTACACATTCAAAACGATTCGACTCATAGTAAAAAAAGCATGTACATCTTGAGCAAAAGAGTTGATTGTTTCAAGCGCATTCTCATTCGTATAATTTTCATGAATTGCAAGCATTTAAGTGCTGGTCTATGAAATGAAAGTCTTGCAATATGAACATATCTTGAGAACTGTGCGTGTCAAGCATATGCAAAAAAAAAAAGAGTTCGACTATGGCGAAATTTTTTTTGATTAGTATTTCTATATTTCATACTGTATTCTAGCGACATCTTTTCTTTCCCGTAAATAATACTTAATGAAACTTAATATCTGCTTCAATGGCATTAGTTTGTTTCAATATATTTCATATATGAATTGAAGAGACAGAAACAGGATGATGTCACTAATAAATAAGCACAGCCAATCTCCATTCATTGTGTGCTTCCGTGTTCGTTTTTCTTCTTTTTTAATTGTTTTATTTTTCACGTTGACGGTCGTTTAAACTATCTTTATTCTATTTAACAAGGAACAACTTTGATTAGATTATCAATGAAAAAACAAAAGAACAGTGACACATGTATGGTAATTTCATCATTGTTACACATATTTCTTTGTTTTTTTTTTACCATTGTAAGTTAAACTAAAAGATTTGCCTGTGTTGTTTTTTTCTTTTTTCAGAAACAATGTACCGTGATTTTCAATTGATTGAATGAAACATTTAAAAAAAAAATACATTTTTTTTTCTATCTAGACTTTAAGAAATCAAAATATTTCAACTTATCTCTTCTAGATTCACAAATATTTTTGTATTCAATCAAAAAGAAAAAAAAAAAATTATCAATGAATCGTTGAATATTTGTCTAAAATGAATTTGATATATTCATATCTTTTTTTCCTTTGTTTTCTTGTCTAATGGTTATATCATGGGGTAATATATGTATATGGTGTTGTGTGTTTTGTGAGTAAGCAAAAAAAAAAAAAAAAAAAAAAAAAAGAAAGAATTTTGAGTGAATTTGGCATTCTGATCAGACGGTAATGAATGGTGGAAACTTGTCAATTGTAGGGGGATGTGTATATATTAGGTATATTGACAAGCGAATTTTATATTCAGAATGACATTAATTGATTTTGTTTTTTTTTAATTGAATTTTTTCAGATAAATTTTTTGAAAAAGAAATATGAGTGAAAGTCGAAATCGAAGTCATGAAGAAAGTGTATCAAGATCTCCATCGAAATCAAAATCGAAATCAAGATCAAGATCAGGTTCACTTTCATCAACATCATCGTATGAAAAAAAAATTTTTTTTTTTTGTTTTTTAAATTAATTCACTCATATTGATTGTATTTATATTCAATAGTGGTCGTGCAGCAAAAGCACGAAATTGGAATGGTGAATCAGGTTATCGTTTACATGTTTCTCCACTTAATCCTCGTACATCACGTCGTGATATTGAAAATATTTTTTCAAAATTTGGTCCAATTAATGAAGTATATTTGATATTTTTGTATAAGAAAAAATAATGTTTTTTTTTTGTTTATAATTTTGAAATTTAAGGTTTGGATGGCAACAAATCCACCTTGTTTTGCTTTTGTCAATTTTAAACATCGTGATGATGCTGAAGATGCAATAAAAGCTATGGATGGAAAGTAAGTCGAATTGAAAAAAAATTTTTTTTTTTTTTGTTCTATCTTCTATATAAATATTATTAGAATGATTGATAATTCTCAAGTTGGTGTTTCATTTGCACGTAAACGAACAATAGGTGGTCGTCGAGGTGGAGGATCATACAGTAATGGTAATGATCGGTATTCACGTGGAGATCGTGATTCATCACGATATCATCGTCGTTATTCACCACGATATTCTGATGATATGCGTGATAGGTATAGATTTTGAAAAGATTTTTGTTCATAAAAATTTTCATATTGGAATTTTAGTAGATACAATGATCGACGACGACGATATTCAAGATCACGTAGTCCAGTCCAACATAATAAACGTGATTATCGGCAACGGTCAAAATCATCATCACCAAAGTAAGTTTATCACAGTAGTATGATCAAATGTAGAACTCATATGTATTTATACTCATATAGAATATGTTAAGTGAAAAATTTCGAGCAGAAATATTAACATTTCTACAGATACTCTTGTCTTGTTATTTGCTCTATTGCTATGCAGTGATTTAACTGGCAATGAAGCCTGTTGTACATATCATGGGCGATGGAGAGTTTTGAATCTAGGTGATACTCATAGTGTTTTTCTTCTTCTCATCTATCAAACTTCGACTGTCAAACTTTCATTGGAACATTAAGTAAAGCTCTTATTAACTTCAGTAAATCAGCAGATAAAAATAGATATCATTGAAAAGTACTAAAGAACAGTTTTCTTTGTTCGTTTCTGGATATCAACATAGAATAAATACCATTCAAGTCAATAGAATCCATCTTCTCCACGTAAATATCGGTCAAAAATACACTGTTCAAACGGGTTTGTTATTGTCGATCGGCAACCTGTCTTCATGTGATTCATCACGAAAAACAATCTTTTTGCTGTAGCCTGGATCACAGATATCGTTAGATATACATGCAAGGACCGATTATATTGATGAAATATTTCTGTCTGTCTCTGTAAGGACAGTACAGACCACGAGTGCATAAGGAGGCATGAGAACTACGTATTGTCGTGAGGTGTCAAGTTCAAAATTGGATGAGACTGAACCTCATTGGCTCCACGGTCCTTGGTACGTATCCATTATATCTATAGTAGGTCTCAACATTAGAGTCGGTCGGAATCGGATCTGAAAGTCTTTTGTCAACCAGGTTCAGATTATGGCAACCAAATGCGTTAGTATTCATTACCTTTGGATATCTTAAATATTAATTTTTTTGGTTTCTTTCCATTCGAATAAATAAATCAAAGCATATGAGCGTATCCTCAAAAATGCAAGGTTTTTTAACTAGAACTTTTTTTTTTTTTTGTATACATTGGCAAAAGCAGGTGATACATCATATTTTGAAATAAAACAAATAGTAGATACTCTGAATACTTTCTAATGTAAGTAGAAGAAAGTTTCAGCTTGATCGGATATATGGTTGTTAAGAAACAGAAACGACTTTCAAGTTTTATGCCAAAAAAAAAATCATTTTTCAAAAGCTAGCGAAATAATGTATAAATTTCGATGGTTTTTGGCCAGCTGAAGATTTTCGATAATCAATTAACTGTCCAATTTTATTTTTGGTTAGCATAATGGTCTTTTCAGCTAACGGAAAATTTTGAATTTATTAAGCATCGAGTGATGGGAAAGTGAACAACAAGAAATAACTGTATGTTGACTTTTTTTCCTGAGAGTAGCTCATAAATAGTTAAAACGTTGATCCTTCATTTGTTCAGGTACACAAAATATGCCAGACATTGATGGAAAAATAAAAATACTCTGATTCGGCTTCAGAAAATTATAGCTTTGCTCGGGTTCTCTATTCACATAAATGTTCACCTGCAGCTTGTGTCGATGGATTTTGTCCGGTTTGCATTGTATGGGTATATCTAACTAGAGATGTAAGCTGCAACTGCCGATCAATCCATCGGTTTATATCTGATATACATGAAAATCTTTTTTTTTTGTTTTTGTAAAACTGATTTACTTTAATATGTATCTTATTTAGAGCACGTCGTAATCGACCATCATCAAGAGATCGTTCACCAAAACAACAAGCATCAAATGTTGTTCATAGGTAAAATATATTTGATTTGATTTTTCTAATTATCAATTTGTTTTCGTTTTTGTTTTAGATATAAAGAAAGTGATGATTAATGGTATAATTCAATGGAAATAACATGGTTCTGTCTTTTTTTTTCTCTGCTTCTTGTTTTTTGAAAATATGTAAACAGGACTTACAATTCAATTATAACATCATTTTCTTTTTTGTTGTCGGTTCTCTTTGTTTAACTAAATGATGTCTTGTGAAAAAAAAAAAACAAAAAAAGAAATTTTTTTTTCTCTTGTGTATTGTACCAAGTTTGATTAGTGTCTGTTTGTTGTTCTAGATTGTTTTATTTGCTTTGTTCGTGTTGCCTTATTAAGAAGTTTCAATGGGTCGTAGTCGAGATCGTGAAGGTTCACTTTCATCAACTGGTTCAGGTCGTACAGCACGATCAAAGAAATGGGTATGTTAGAATTTGTTATTTGTTTGAATTATAAAAAGAAATTTTGTTTTATTTTTGTAGGATGGAGACACTGGTCATCGTGTACATTTATCAGATTTATCTGTCGGCGTTAGTAAACATGAAATCGAAAAAGTTTTTCGTCCATATGGACAAATAAATGAGGTTTGAAACTATATTTAATGATTTTGGTTTTATGAAAATTTATTTAGATTTGGGTTGCATCTAATCCACCTTGTTTTGCTTTTATTAATTTTCGTCATCGAGCTGATGGTGAACGAGCAATAAAAGAACTTGACGGAACGTAAGATACCTGTTTTTTTTTCTTTCTTCAAAGGGAATATTCAGTTTATATATATATATATATATAGGATTTTGGCTGGCTCACGTATTGGTTTAAGTTGGGCTCGAGTAAGACGTTATGGTGGACGATCACGTCATCGTAAATGCAAAAAACATATTTTTTTCTTTGTAAAAATTTTATTTTATATTTTCAGGTTCACCATCACCTTCTTATCGTCGTGGTTATCGAGATTCCTATAGTAGTGGTAGTCGTCGTCGTAATTCACGGTAGTTTGATTTTTAATTTTTTTTTTTTTCGTTTCTTAAATATTTATTCGTCGTTTAAAATAATGAATAATTCTGTGTCTATGAGATAGTTTATTATTCTGTTGCTGTCCCTCTCGATATATATTTGATTATTTTTCTAGCTGTTGATGATTAATGGTTGAAAATGATTGATTTGGTTGGAATAGCAGCAGCAGCAGTTTTAAAATGAATAATTTGGTTTTGTGCTCGATTCTTGTTTCTTTGTGTATTCTTCTCCTTCTCTTCTATTTGTGTATCTTCTCTGCCTTAAATTGGGTGGATCGATCCATATGTATTTATAGTCACATTCTTTGGCAGAGAAATTTAAAGAAAAAAAGAAACAAAAAGGTATGTTATTAGAGTACATAAATATTTTATTAGACAGATATCGATCGACAACAATGAAATGATTCAATATCCCTTTTTAACAATTTTTATTTTGAAGTTTTGTTTTAGTTTGTTTCGTTTTTAAATATATTTTTTTGAACGATATTTTGTTCTTTTTTAGAAGTCGTTCACGTAGTCCATATTATCGAGGATCTGGTGGTGGTAGTAGTCGACGACGAAGTCCAATTTCTCATTCACCATCACCTCGTGGTAATGGTCATTTTGTTCATTATGTTGAATACGTTTTTTTTGTTTATTTTTATAAAATAAAAAAGATAATCGTCGAGAAGAACGACCTAAAACATCTAAACGTGAACATAAACGTCGCCGTCATTCTTCATCAAATTCAGATCGCAGTGATAAACGTTCACCACGTCGAGATAATGGGTAAAAAAATATTTTTATTTGTGTTGCTTTATATATATATTTGGAAAATATTTTAGAAAAAAAACTTCACGAAGTCCAAGTAATGAACGTCAGCGATCAGCAACACCCAATGGTGATAATCGTACTGCTAATAGGGATGATAATCGAGCTGAGTAAGTCAATCGAATTTCTTATGCTGTATTATTATGGATTAATAAAAAAAAATAAGTCAGTGCCTTAGCCACTATAAGAATCGGCGTCATGGGCCCACGAAAAAATAAATTTATACCTTCTTTACTTTTATGCTGTAGAAACTGGTAAGATTTCCATATTGGCTACACTGTAGGTCTTTTAGAATATAGGTGCGGATGCGAGTACAAGTGCCGTTGAAGTGAGGCTGTTAAAGAGATTAAAATGACTCAAGGGACTGATATGACTAAAGGGATAACTTGAAGGGACTAAAAGTAAAACGGGATAAATTTAATTTTTCGTGGACCCCACATAACACATCTTCGTTAGATGTGTAGAATCTACCGCTTAAATAATCTATTTAAAAATATACGTAAAGTATAAATTAGTTTTGATTACCTATCGAATAATACTGATAGTGTTGGTATTTGGTCATTGCACACACGATTTATGACAACTGAACGGAAGCTTATAAGTTTTCATGTTAAGTATTGTTTACTTAGCAATAGTTGCATGAAATCATAGTAAAACTACTGAAACTAAGCTGAAGAATTGAGGGTTCCTAAGATAACGAAGTTTATTAATTTGTTATCTTGCTTTTGACAGTCTTCTGGCAAATAGTTTATTATGTGTATTAGAAAAAAAAAAAAATCAAAGGTCAATGTAAACAGTTTCATGAGCAAACTGACGAACGAGAAATTTATTGCATGGTAAAAGGAATTAAAGAAAAATCAGTAAGATTTTAGTCGGTTAAGAAATCATGCAATGTAATTTATGCATCAATTTCTTATCCTGATTACTACGAAAGAAAAATTTTTATTACATAATTTTCTACATTAAAACGTTTTCATATAAACAATAATTCTCATCAAATTTTCTTCTATGCATATAGCCACATACGATTAGATTATACAGATCTGAATGTTTGCCTCTCCGCAACTTTATCTCCTCCATTTATATCTAACAATGGAATGTTCTCAACTGTCAAATCGCTTTTACACTAGAAACTATTACCATTCGATCGATCATGATAAATAGTAAAAGCGTCAAATTTTCTGAACCTTTCTCTATAGAGAATCCTTTTAGTCATTAGAAACTTCACAAAATTTGAACCAAAACGAAGGTATCCTTACTCTTCGAGAAACTATAAGAGCTCTCTATGGAGATCAAGTTTTCTCATCAGTCATCAGAACCGATCGACTGAAAATAGTTATTAATGAAAAGTGATTTGACAGTTGGAAACGTTTACTCATAAGCATTGAACGACATCTGCTCTTTTCTATGTCCAACAGGAAAACTATTTTTTTTTCCTGAATAATAAATAAACATATTCTCTTTTATTGTCTAATAGATTATATTATTTTTCTCTTTAGAGTTGAAATCGATGCTCAAGATTGATAAAATATACCGGTGTCATTCATTTACTTAAAAAGACTTTCGTCATGTTACGATTATGTGTTTGGTTCGAATTATTTGTTGTTGTAATCTTTTTTTTCTGTTGCTTGTGTATGCTCCATCTAGGCCTGGTTTGATATGTATTGATCTCTTCATCATCAATTTATACAAGAAAACATGTTTTTGTTCTTGTCATCATTAAAAACAAAACGTTTTTTTTCGTAATTCTTATAATCAGAAATAAAAGATAAATATGTCGATTTTGATTTTATATTTGAAATAATGAAAGAATATATTCATGTGTCAAAGAATCACTTATGAGAACAAACGTTTGCTTATTTGGTATTTGCATATTTCAAGAAAAAAAAAAAAGGCCAAGGTAAATGAATTGTTCCATTTGATTGATGAGAAAGTAACTGTTGTATTTTACTTGTTGACCTTCTCAAATATATTGCAAAAGAACATATGTAAAAAGAAGTACATGCTGCAGGTTATTACATAACAGATTGAATGTATACTATACAGACTTAAATCAAATTTGAAAAGAATTCGAAGGTCCTTTGTTTTGGCTTCCATGATGAATAAGTATTCGAATTTCATAGAATCTTTTCTCAAGACAAAGTTTTCAATAGGTTTCAAACATGTATGCTATGTTGATTCGATTGTGACAACATCAATATATAGATGCCAAAAAAATTAAATTCATTGTTGACTCAATAAATATTAGCACATTTTAACAAATATATAAAAGTCATCGAGATAAATAAGTTATAACGGCTTATTATTGAAATATATTTGATTTATAATATAGACGCAATCTTTTTGCAATACAAGTTATATGGCTAATCTTTTTATCTCACTTATAATAAGTGGTCGACACATGAATTTATGAACGATTTTTGTTTCTGTTTAAAACGAAATTTATACGATGGCGCTAGCCGTCAAATGATTTTCTTTTCATTAATAGAGATCGGACCATGGAAAAAGAAAAAGCAAATGGTTGACTGAAGACGAGGAATTCTTTCTGTTTTTTTTAATTTTCTTCAAACAAAAGTTATCATGTTGATTATATGTTTTTTCTTCTTTTTTTCTCTCATAAGTAATATTGAATTCATCGTCTCTTAAGAAAGAAAAAAAAACCGAGAAAGAAAGGCATCTCTAATGTTAAGTATGTATCGTTCGGAAAGGTGACAGCAAGAGAAGAAGAAGAAGAAGAAGAAAAAAGGTTTGTCGTATTTCAGACGAACGTCGACGACAAGCATATGAAAAAAAAAGTTGCTTGTGAGCTCTCGCATTTCTTTCCGATGTTGTTGAACTGAGTGATTAGAAACCTTCTTGAAAAGAAATTATTTCTATTTCAAGAACAGACGTGCGCCTACACATACACAGACATACACATATATATATATATACGTACTCTCGAACAACTATATTAAAAGAAAAATCTCAATCATTAGGTTTTGTTCTAGATGGCTGATATCCTTTCACTTGAACAATTAGTGTATCTGTCCTTGGGTGATCCTGAGGCAGGTGCTGTGAATTTTAATGTATTAAAAACTCTTCTTTTACAAATGCTTAAAGCAATGAATTTATATAATTATAAACCAACAATGTCTGATGATGATCAACGTACACTTAAAGAAGCACTTTCAACATCAACAACAACAACAACATTACCGAAGCAACACGTTACTTTCGAAGAACATGAACCATCAACTAGTGACAATGAAAATGAAACAAATAGAAAAGCTCGACGAAGAATACGTGATCGAAGTTCTGATCGTCTTAATGCATTAGAAGAAAAAGTATTTCGTTTTGAATCTCAATTAAATGCTCTCAATCAAATACCATCAAATTCTGAATTAATTGATCGAACTAAACAAATGCCGAAAAAAACATTGGATCATGATGAACAAGTTAAAACAACTGGTCGTCATGGACCCATACTTGAAATTTGGCAATATACACAAATGGAAAAAAGAATTGAATCAGCTGAAAATGGAATAACACGAGTATATTTATATAAAAAGAAAAAGAATTAAACTTTTTTTTTTTTTTTTTGTTTCGTTTAATGATATTTGGTTTTAGCTTGCTTCATTACTTCAAGATCTTTTATCAGAAATGAATGATTTAAAAGAATCAAATGAAACAATGAAACAAACAACAGATGAACTTAAAAAACAACAAGATGAACTTAAACATTTAATTGATATGTTAAATAGTGAAAAACTTGATTGGGTATATTCAATGATTTTATTTATTAAATCTTTTTTGTTTTAATTTTTAAGGCTAAAAAATCTGATATTGAAGATTTAGAAGAAAAAATTCGTAATTTACAAAATTTAATCGTAAGAATTTTTATTTCGAAATTATATTAAATACATATAACACTTTAGTCATCATTACGAGATCGTCTTAATGATTTACCAAAAGAAAATAATAATATTATTTCAATGCCTGATTTAACAGGTTATGTTACATGGGATCGATTAGAAGATGCACTTAAAGGTATTCAAGAATCACTAGAAAAATCCTCACATGATGCCGCAGAAGCTTTAGCTTCAGCTAGAGAAACTCGACCACCACCTATACAAATGATTGAACGACAAAGTCAAACTGTAGGTCAAACTTTTATTCAAGAGGAAAAAAAAAGAAATAAATAAAATTTCTTTTCTTTTTATTACTTTAGTCAGCTAAACGAAAGGTAAGCGCTAAAAATTGATTTATCTTTTTTTTTTTTTTTATTTGTATGATTGATTTATGGTGAATTTGTTTTATGTTTTTGATTTAATTAAAATACTTTCATTGCTATAGGATTCACCATCAACTGTAATTAGCAGTATTCCATCGGATAGTCTTGCTGTAATTTTGGAAAAACTTGGAACATTAAATAATCGACATGAACAATTACGAGCATTAGTTGAAGCACTTGAAGTATAAAATAAGAAGAAAAAACAAAATATATGTATATAGAAGATTTTAATAAAAATTTTTTCTTCTGTCTTCTAGCAAAAAAAACTTAATCGCGAAGAGTTTGAAGCATTTAAAAACCAACTAAATAATTTAGTCGATCGTTTAGCAGCGCTCGAACGAAGTATTGATAATTTTCAATCACAACGAACAAATGTAAGTGATGAAAACACATCTAACTAACATATTCAAGTAGTAGTTTCATGCTGTTCTCTTTTGAAAAATTTCAATCAGCTTTCTTCTTCTTTTCATATATAAAAATTCTCAGTTTTATTCTAATGTCTTTGTCAACTTAAAAAACAATATATTGAAATATAGTGTAATTCATATCGTGAAATTGCAGCATAATACGAATTTTCTTTAACAACGAATCATGCTGGTCTTCACGACAAGATTATACACCTTTATGAGTTTGTGACTATGTCGATGTATACAGGAAATAAAAATGAATGTAATCTATCTGAGATAAAAAAAAAGAGAGAGAGAGCGAGAAAAGATCAAGAAGAAAATATTACTTTATCAAGAGAGGGAGAGAAAGATAGCGCACAAAGCACGGAGAAAATAGCTTTATCATTATAGTGATCATGTTGATCAGTTGAACCAATAATAAATATGACGACATAATCATGATAAGAGAGGTGCACAGATGCTCTTACATTTTTTTTTAGTTTATGTCAAACATTAAAATTGTTCAAGAAAAACTCATTTTTCTTGTTTCAACATGTTCACAATATCTTAACATAACTAATTATTATTTACCAACTAATTGGAAAACATTAGGTGCTCATTTACGTTATATATTCTATCAAATACGTACATTTAATGAACCAAATATACGTCAATTACTTTTGAGGTGTGTGAGCGTGTGTATGCTATAATAAAATTTCTTTTTTTTTTTTGCAAAATTTAAATGAAAAGACAATAAAATGAATACAATAGAGAGTTTCAGTCAATCAAAGATTTATTTGAAATAATCATCGAAATTCTATTTACAACTAAATGGACTAATGATAAATATAAAACAGATTCTGTAAAATAATTTCAATATTATTTTAATTCTATTGATTTTTTATTATAGGATACTTCGGCTCCAGTACCGATACGTGAAATTATTAAAGAAGTTCCTTCACAAGTATTTTTTTTGTCTAATAGAATATATTTTTCTTGTGATATGCAAAAAAAAAATGTTCTTTTTTCTAGACACGAACAGATTATTCTGGTGACATGTCCGATTTTCGAACAGCTTTACAACGTTTACGTGAAGAATTAGATCGACTTAAACAACTTGTACAAGATTTAATAAATAAAGGAAATTTATCTGCTCAAGATATTGATGTAAGTTATTTATTTTATTGATAAATGAATTATAATCAATGAACATATTGTTTTATTAGACTTTGAAAAAATTAATTCAACAATTAGAACAAACAAAAGCTGATAAGACATATGTTAACAATGAATTGGATAAAGTAAATATAATAAATAAATAAAGAGAGAAAAATAAATATATGAAATGATATTTTTTTCTATTTTATTTTATCAGAAAGCAGACAAACGAGATATTGAAAATCGAGTTTTAAAAAGAGATTTTAATACTGCTTGTGGTGAATTATCACAAAATATAAATGATTGTTTGCAAAAATTTATTGTTCATGTATGATAAGCATTTTTTTTTTCGTTTATCGAATAGAAATTATTTACTCTTTCGTTTTAAATTTCTAGGATGATACGCAAAAACAAGATTTACACAAAATGAATCATGATATTGATGGAAAATTAGATCGTGCAGAACTCGATGCTTTACGTGATTATATGGAAAAACAATTGAAGAAACTTAAAAAATTAGCGGTAAGTTTTATTAATATCGTTTTATTTATGCACGAGTAAAATAAGAAAGATAAATATATATTCATTTTATTTTTTTCATATATTTGTTTTATATTTTATGATTATCAAGAAAGAACAACAGCAAACTCAACAACAACATGTACATGTTATGTCAGAAGATGAAGCTGCCGGTCTACGAAAACAACTTATTCGTTTTCATTGTATTAGTTGTGATCGTCCAATCGATGTTCAACCGCATGCGTTCGTGTTGCTTTTTTTTGTTCTATTATTATTTATTATATTGAAATTTTGTCTTTTTTGTTTTCTTAGACAGCAGCCAAGTCTTCCTGCAAATCAAGCTATGCGTCCTATTCAGTCACCTCGACCATATACAACATACGAGCTTGACCAAATACGTCAATTTCAAAAGAGGTTAAATTACGAAATAAAAATCTACAATTCATTGTTCTATATAAAAATTTAGTCAACAATTAAATAATGAATTTGGTGGCGGTATAGCCGATGTTTATGCAACTGTACGACAATGTGGTGGTTCACATACAATGACATTACCATTTAAACGACAAACAAAAGCACAGTTAATATTTTATTTTCTATTTCATTAATAAAAATGAAACAAATTCGTCTATTATTCTTTTTTTTTTCAAGGTTAGCTGTACCTGAAGAAACAACACTTACAAGGTAGATACTTTTTTTTTTTATTAAAATTTAATTGTTTCTTGTTCTACGAAAACTTCGGATTATAGAAACGAAGTTGATATCAAAGGTCATGATGGTGTGATTTATAAAGGTAGAATTGATGCCGATAAATTACCAACTGTTGATATACATAAAAAGAATTCGGTTGTTTTACGTGCATCATTTCCACCACCAAAATCTCGTACAGATTCTCATGGCACACCAGCTAATTATCAACAACAACATGAATTATCTGGTAATGATGATGAACGAAATGATATATCACCACTTATACCTAATCTTGAACCAATTTTACCTCGAGAAGAATCATTTACTTAAAAAAGAAAAAAATTTTCTATTTTGATAACATCCAAGGATTTTCATAATACCTTTTTTTTTTCATTTCTTTGCTCATTTCATCATTAAATTGATTGTTTTCGTTTTCTTTTTTACTAATATGCAATCTATTTTTTCGTTTTTGGTCACTTGTCATACATTTTTGCAACTTGATTATTTTTCTATGACGATCTCAATGAATATCTATACAATTCTTATTTTTAAATAGAAGAAATTTTCTTTGAATTTTAATACTCGATTTTTTTTTTTAATGTATAGATTTAAAACGTGTATCGATTGTTGAACAAGAAATTTTATATGATTCTCAATTATTTTCATTAACAAAAAAGAAAAGAAATTTTAAAATTGAAACAATTTTTAATTGGAATGATTTAAATATAGAAGATATATTAGAAATCAATAAAGATAATATAAATGATTTATATGAAAAATGGAAGAAAAATTTTTGTGAGAAAAAATCATGTCATCATCAAAATGAAATTAAACAGAATAAAGAAGAAAAAAGTTTAGAAAATGAATTAAATATTACAGAATTCAATGAAATAGAAAGTAATTAAATAGATTCAAAAAATATTTTATTTAATTACAGGGTTTTATGAAATACGATCTAAGAGGAGTGTTGAAGTATTCAAAGTAAAAAGTTTGCACCCTCTTCCTCTTGACAGATCGTGATAAACACGTTCGAAATGGTTCATGACAGGCCTCTTAGCAATGACAGACATCATACGTGACAGGCATTATTGACATACGATCTTTGATCGTATGTCAATAACGTCACGTGCTAATATATGAACTAGAGCTGCGGTCTAGTCTGCTGTCTATCAGGCCAAATTTGATGGACAACGTTGAAAAGAATTATGCAGAAGATCAAAATAGTGAAAAAGGAAGAACATGAAATAGTCAAAAAAAAAGAAAATATTGAAAATGAGATTTTCCTGATTCTGAGATAATGAAGAGACATTGTATTTTAAAATGTAGAGAAAAGGAACTACTATCAAAATTACAAACAGATATTTATCGTATTTTTTTGTGAAATACAATCTAAAAGGAATGTCTAAAGTATAGGGATAGAAATATTGGCTTAACACTCCTTGCAGACATGACAGACATCCTTAGCAACATCTCTTCTTCATCACAGACCGTGACAGATGTTGTTGATAAGTAAAAGGATGATGAAAAGATGTGTCCAAAAATAGATAGAATAAAACAATAATCTCAATTGCATGGTGTTTCGCATTTCAATCTTGTAAGGATTTCGCTTACCGTTTTTGGACCTCCAATTAAGAAAATTAGTCCGGTTATAGAAACTGCTTCCAATTTGATGTTATTCGAATGATTTTTGAAAACCAACGATTACATGCTAATAATTAAAAGAAAATAACACAAATAAATTTATTTCTCAATCCCAAAGTACAGATTTTCTCAGGTGACTTCCGAAATTCTTTTTTTCGATATTATTTCGTTCGCTATTTTTCATCTACTACATTTTCCTTTTCGAAGTTCTCCATCGATTCGACTAGACTTGGCTCGTACGTTTTAAAAATTAAATGTTGACTCATTGTTTTATTGTTCGAGAGTACTTCAACAAATTCCTTCGATTTCAATAACAAATGCTTGAACCACAAACGTCAATTAAGTGTTGTAAGACTTTCATCAACTAACAGAAGAACTTGTTTAGATCCGAAAACAATCGGATAGTAAATTTTGCGTTTGTGCTGTTGAGAAAATTGATTATCAAACGTAAATATCCTTTTCTATTATTGTAAGTGTTACTTACTTCCTACATTTTCGTTGTATATCTGATCATATGTTGTTTTTGCTATTATGATTAGATTTTTTGATTAATGCGAAACAACATTGATATAATCGAAAGATATGGCATTAGTATAAACCTTTCGTGTATAAAAAATATTTATGATAATTTTCTCTTTGTTTATAATTTGCTATTCGTGCAAGAAACTGTTACACTCTTATCATGATAGAAAAAAATGAAGTGAACAACTGAAACTAGAATGATACATAGAATCAACTGTATTGTAAATGTCAGAAACATCAATCGGCCTTATTTAGTCTGCAGATATTCCGAGCCAGATCGAGTTAGAAAAAAGTGTTCTTTTAGCAACTCTGATACAAACTACTCTCATATTGTGTTTCTAGAAAATTAAATAGAAGAATTATGATGAGATATGTTCTAAAATAGATAGAATAAAGTAATCTGTCTGTTATCAGCAACAACAACTATATCGTGTTTCACATTTGAATCCCGCAAGAATTGCGCTAACAGTTCTTACATCGTAAAACTTAATACGTTAAAGGTGATGATGAATAGTTTAACTTTTCGCTTTAGATCATCATAATGGTTAATTCAACCAACACTAATCTTCATCATAATACTTATTACGAATGATTCATATCAAAATGATTTTTTCACACTTATACAATAGCTTGATCATTTTTTCATTAATTTGATTTCATGTACATTCTAATTCATAAAATAAGGGAAATTTTCCGACAGAAGAAAACAAAACATCGTTGTATGATAGTCATTGAGTGACTTCGATACGTTCTTTGAATATTTTCAAGAGTCTTATCATTTGATTCATCCAAATAAATGCAACGTATTTATTTCTCTTCAATACTAAACTATCTCGAGATCAATTCAACATCTGTGCAATCAAAAAAAAAAACAAAATGAAAGTCGACATGATTAAAAAAAACAGTAACTTTTTTATTTGAAATTATAAAAAAGTCAAATGTCATTAAGGAAGTATATTAATATCATTCATCCGTTTGGTTAGTACTTCCGCTGTTTGATGCCATATATTGCATCTGATGCAATCAATACATAGATCAATATCTTCTCACATTATGAACGTATGTGAGTAGTACACTTAGAAGTGATCGGTTAAACAATAAGATGAAGATGATGATGATGATGATGTACAGAAGCAAGCAACAGTTGTCGTTTGACACATTGTGTATCGGTCGAATGCATCGTTGAACAAGATTGGAAAGTAGGTGTGAGAAATCTTATTTCTGATCAATAGGAAAAAAGACAAGCTGTCGTTATTACAAGTGTTCCGATACTTGACCTAACGTTTTCTTTTTTTTTTTGTGTGTGTGATCTATTCCGAGATGCATCCTCTCACATGTGACAGTCAATAAAAAAAGAAAAGAAAAAGGAAAGTAACATCAGCGGCAATAATTTTCGATCAAGTCATACATATATATATACATATATGAAAGAAAATGATCTAGTCATTTATCTTATTTAGTATACTCACGCAAACAACAGTAAGTAACCGCAATTGATTTTGCCTATAGGCTATTGAGCGGTGTTTATTTTATTTTTCTAAAAATTCAAGTGAATTAACGAACATTTTAACACTATTTTGATAACGACAAAATAAGAAAAAAAAAATTGATGGGAGGTGTTCGAAAGTCTCAATTTCCTTTTTTCCGCCTATACCTTTTCTCGAAAGGCGTGCCTTCTCATTTTCTTTTTTGTCTGCCAGTCAATACAATTAGTTTCGCATGTATACACCTTTCAATGATGAGATTCAGATTCACATACGAATCAATCATTCGCCATTCGAATGCTGTGTTAATGATACGTTGGACAGGAGAAAGAGAAAAACAGCAGCAGCAGCAACAGCAGTATTGCTAATGAGAGAACGGAAAGAAAAAGAAAAAGAAAACGAAAAAAAAAAAAAAAAAAAAAATCTAACGTTCGAGCGGCGGAAACATGGGTCATTCGTTAAATGTTCATTACTTGAAATGAATTAATATTTTTGTCTATCTTAGGAAATGAAACTTCGTTCACATGAAATACTTTCAACAAATAAAAAACCACTAGGATCATCATCATCATCACATCCATCACGTTTTAAACAATTATTTCAACGTAAAAATATATTTAAAAAAAAATTTCAACAACAACAATCAACACATCAACATGGTCTTGTTCATGCAATACCAGATTATGTTCGAAAAAGTATATTTCGTTTTTTACTTGAAGTTAAATCTTCAACACCATCATCACCACCACCACCATCGTCTTCTCCTTTACGATCTATTCGACAACCACCATTAATGGGCATTCAAGCATTAAAAAAAAAACATCACCAACCAAAACGTTCCTTACGTATACAGTAAAAACAAAATATATTATTTTTATTTTTTCTTCATATTACCTTTCGGCTAAATTTTGTTTTTTAGACAACAACAAACTGTTATTGATAATAATCATAAAACTTTCGAAGATTATCAACAACAACAACAACAACAGAATAACTATGATATGACTATATTACATATGAATATAGATGATGCTAATGATGATGATGATGATGATAATGATTTAATATTTGCAACAAAAACAAGTACAAATCAAAAGAAACCAATACCACAATGGGCAAGAAGTATGTTAAAATTAATTTTATTTTTTATTGAAAAATAAACCTTTTTTTTTTTTAAATTTTTCTATAGAAAATGAATTACAAATAGCTATTTGTAATCAATTATATTTTCATCGAAATCCAAGTGAAATATTTGGTAATACAATGGATTGTTCACCAGCACATTTACGTACAATACTTCATTCAATGTTACCTAATGTTGAATTATTAGATGATAGTCTACATCAATCACCATGCAATAGTAACAAATCTATATTGATTTAAAACTCCTTTTTTTCAGTTTCCTTTTGATTGTTATGTAAATATAGATATTGAAGAAAAAAAAGAAATAGACTTTTTGATTTTATTCACACATTTATATTTACCGCATTGGCGGCACTAAGTGAATACGCCTTTTACACCATCATAGAAGGAGAAAAACAAAAACAACAAAAAATAAAAAACATATACACACAGAAATTTTCCCAATATTCAATCAGACAATAAGTTACAAATGAACTGTATATACATTAGATGTGCAAACTTTAATCGTGTGAATAAATAGCAGACAATAAAAGAACAAGAAAACCGGTGACTGATCACCCCTCTGGCAACCATGGTATGCATCATTGAAGTTTTGATCACTTCATCATCGTTAAGCTTGATTGATCTATTGTTCAATATGAAAATAGAAAGAAGAAAGTGAAACCGTTTTTAATTGAATTAATTTTATGTTTTTGTTTTATTCTTTTGTTTAAAAATTTTATTCTCATGTTCGTAAATAGAAGTCTTATATTATAATAGTGCAACACGTGTTTGCAGATAAATGATCAATATTTGCAAGAGTTTTCAAGTATGTACACACTCTTTTAACTGTATGATGATCAATAGCATTCATATTGAAAAAAATGTCTATACGTCTTATATTAATAAAATAAAAGTGACCGTGAGATTTTTATCATCGGTTACCGATTAGTTATAAGGATCAAAGATAATGTTGATTAATCATTATAAATTATTTAAAACAAAAAAAAAAGAAGAGGATTAGAAAAGAATTAATTTAAAATTATTTGAAAATCGTTACACTATATTCATTGATGTTTGATATTTTTAATCGAAGTGTACTTAATCCGTATTTGTTTTATCACAAAAGAGACATTTCAATAACGAACGTATAGATTTCGTCAATTTTTTCGGGAATGCCCTATGTTTTTACTATCAACGATTTTTGTCTTATTTCTTTTCGAGTCTTGTTGAAACTCGTGATTCATTAATGATCCTTTATAACTCATAATTTATACTCGACTCAAAATGCTTATCGATAGTCTTATGGACTAACGACTATCATCAATTTGATATGTGATAAATCTCAGACAATGACAATACTTTTCAATTACACAATTGCTTAAAAGAAAAACTTGTCGAGAAATAAACTAAGCGAAAATTTAGATACAATTTTAAATATAATTATCACTTATTTTGTTGAGATTACAATACAGTTTTGAATAACTTATGTAATAAAATGAAATAACTCGCGTGTACAACAGACAATGGCTTACTTTCCTTTGTCCTGTGTTGATTGAAATGAATCCTCTAATACATTTAAGATATAGCAAACTCACTAATGGTTGTTTGTCTTGGATCACCAATCCGATAGTATGCTGACTATGTTGTGAGATAAATGTGCTTTTGTGGTTATTTAGAGTGCAAGGATTCTGCGTCAACTCGACCTTCTGTTCAGAGCTACAGCTATTCATAGTTATATGGAAGAGATTGTGCTAATGAATCTGTTACTAGTTAGCACTTCTTATCGAAAGACTAGAGTATCCTTCTTTTTTCTTTTTTCTCTATTATGCAAGTCAGTTTTGATACTTACTGATAAAAATTATCATGATTTTTTTATATTCTCTTGACAATATTATTTTACACAATTATATATTTTACTTTGAGCAAGTCAACTATGTGATCAGAAATAGTTTCTCTCGCATTATACGTACAAAAAGTATTGTACCTATAAGCTCTAAGAAAAACATAAATTCTAATCATTGAATGCTTTCATCAACATTATGCAGGCATGGAAAAGACTTTTTTTTCCATAAATTTCAATTGTTGATAATGTTAAATAGATTCATAAAATTCGATTTATGAGTTATGAGATACAAAAAAATATTCGCTATGTAGTCAAAAGGCTTTTTAAATTCAATTCTAACATTTCTCATTTTTTATTTCAAAAAATATCGTAAAAAAAGATTAGTTTATGTAAATAGTATTATATTTCTCAGCTTTATTATATTTAATCTTTTATATCATTCGAAATCGATTTTTTTCTATAATAATTTTCATTCCATCAACACAATTGGATATTCATTTTACATTACCTCATACACCTTGTATTGAACAACAATGGCAAAGAATCTGTTCCTTTTTTTTTATCGAAAACAATTGATTATTGATGATATTTCATTACACATGATCTAATGTTCTGACGCAGCAATGCATTGAACTAATACTGTAACCAAAAATAAGCATATTACTCAATATCTTACCGTTTCATATTGATTTATCAATAAATTAAAGTCATATATTAGATATACTAATTCAACTGCGTAATACAAATAATTCGATTAATCCAATAATTTAATTTGTATTCATTTTAAAAATGTAACCAAAATTCAAGTTATACTCTTAGTGCAAGATTTTACATTAGCATAAGATCCAAATGATTTAAAAAATTGTCAGATTTGATCTACATTCAGTGGACTTGAAGCCTATTGTTTTAATATTTCAAATTATAATGGAAGAAAGTTTTATATTTGTGAGTCTCGTCTTCAGTCATTTTAACAATCAATTTTCTTCCATTTTTTTGATTGATCTTCTTGATATAGAGTCAAAAAAGAAAAAAAACTATACTATTGATCTTCAACGGAATATCGATATAAATTAAAAACGAACTGATTTTAACCTCATTCGTTGTTCACATTATCTACCATCAATAACTTTTTAAAACGCTGATAATTACTTTGATAGATTAGTTATTAATTCTATTCCTAGTTGAAAATAGAGATGCAACGGTGACGATGCCATCAGTCTATACGTAGTCAATATTATTCAATGATAAAATTTTGACGTCATGCACTACTTAGAAAAAAGAACAATTCAACAGATGTATGTTTTGAGTCATTTTGAAAAATGAAGAAAAAGAATGATGCAAGAAAAAAAAATCTGGTCCCTATGAGGATCGAACTCATGACCTCCGCGTTATTAGCACGGCGCTCTAACCGGCTGAGCTAAGGGACCATGTCAATGCCATTTGGAAAATCATATATGGTTTTTATCACATTATACATGGTCATGGTTCAATGAAATCCGACAATCGCTTGTTGTATTTATTTATATTTGAATATGAACCACAATACTAATCAATGTTCTTTAAGCCTTTTCTTTCAAGATGTTTCGTTTTCTTGATCGATCAGAAAATATTTTTTTTCGACAGGAAAGAAACAAAAATATTTCAGGGTTTTATATATGAGCGAATAGCGACGTTTGGGTACGGTTGTTTGCGAAATATTGAAAATAGACCTAAACAATTTCTGAATAGTAACATCTTATTATACTCTATGTCAATTTTACATAGCAAAATTTTTCTGCATATTCGCCAAGATACGATTTACTTCAGTGTAAATGTATTCTAAGAAACATTATTTAATTTGAAAAAGTCAATTATAGCTTGCTAAAATTCCATGTAATAAAATTGTTTATTAATCCGAAACCAACGTTTACAATAAAAAGAAAGTCATTTTCGGAAATAGAACAAGTACAACGATATAAAGTGCAATCCATCTTGACTTATTATTCCTTGAAATATTATATTAAATATGTCTTTTTACAGACTGTAGTGTATCACTCAAATTCTATGTTACATGTAAGAGTCGAAATTTTACAAAGAGATCACTTTCTTCTTCATCGAATAGAAGAGTCATGAGCAATCCTAAGAGGATATGAGCGCATATTACCATTTGACTAAAACACCGACATTCTACTTTAATTTTTAGCAGGATCCCATCCATGTAGTAGAATCAAAATTTCGAATTTTGATCTGAAACTATGCTTATACGAAGGCTGCAGTCAGACGAGCTTGCTTACAAAGTTTCAGATTTTTTGGAAAAATCATTTCCGAGATATGTTTTTTTTAATAATATCTATGCATTGTACAATTCCTATGAAGAAGCGTCTTTATCTTAACATACTGATATTTTTGGAGATGATTCGTCTAAAAATTCTAAAACTTTGTAAGTATACCCATTGAAGCCTTAAGATCGATAGAGTTTCAGATTTAAACGTGAAACTTTGAATCTACCGCAAAAATGAAGTCCTGCAGGAAAATTACAGTAAAATGTCGGCATTACCACCAAATGCAACCGGCTTTTGTGGGTTCGATTTCGGTTCGTCTCGATTTTTGAAAAAATGCTTCATGTTCCATTCGATTCGAGTAGCTCCAGCTTCACCTATTCAGGAGTAGACTATAGGATAGAACCTTCTTCTCAGACGATAAGATATTGGACGAGAATTCGTATTTGTGTAAATTAATACTATTTAATACACTTGTGGATTAAAATGAATTTTGTAATAGTAATGCGTAAGTATCATCAGTTTCGTTTTTAGTGTTAGTATATAATCTTCCACGATTACCGGAGATTATTCCTCGCCATGTAGAAAAAAAGAAGAAATTTAAAAGAAACAAAAGTTAAAGAATTATGTCGCATAGAAGTAATTCATCGTCATAAACATAATTCGGATATCTGTTATGAAGTGAAAAAAAAATGCTGTGTCATATGAGTATTGAATTAAGAATGGCTAACAGTCAAACAAAAGTCATTTTGTCTTCACTGATTTTTATTTGAGGTTTGACTTCGCTCGACTTTCTTTTTGAAAATCAGTTAGAGTATGATTCTTTTTCTTTCTCGGACTTCAAGTAAAAATAAAACAGCAACAAAATGAAATATCCTAGTTGATCTATAGTAATGACTACGCATAAATCTCAGGTATTAGGTTGAAAAATGCAAGAAGACAATAATCTGGAAAAAAAAGTAGATTAAACAATGTTCATTAATGCTGTAGCATTATATTATTTATTCTTTTCATATAACAACTAATTGATTTAAAGTTAAATGAAAAAGAACTATTGCAGATTGTTATGTTGATTTAATTGAGACCAAAATGTTTGATGAATTTTGACAGCTTCGTCTTCAAGAATAGGACCAATAACAATGAATTCTGGTGCTGGTAAAAATTGTCGACAAGATAAGAGGCCATCATGACCTGCATATTTCTAAAAAAGACAATATTCATAAGTTTAACATTTTCTTATTTGAGACATAGTCAT